CAATGGCATTATTAAAAAAAATAGAATGAACAATTCAAAAATCTGTTTGGAATCATAAAAGACTGCAAATAGCCAAAGCAGTCTTGAAAAGGAAAAAATAAAAGTTGTAGTTATCAAGCTCCCTGATTTGAAACTATATTTCAAAGCTATAGTAATCAAAACAGTACAGTATTGGCATAAAAACAGACATACACCTCCAGAGAACAGAATAAAGAGCCCAGAAATTAACCCACACATATATGGTCAATTATTTTATGACAAAGCAGATAAGTAAATACAAGGGGGGAAAGATAGTCTCTTTAATAAATGAAGTTGGGAAAACTGGACAGCTACATGAAAAGAATCAAACTAGACTATTATCCTATACCATACACAAAAATTAACTCAAAATGGATTAAAGAGTTAAATATAGGACCTGAGACCATAAAACTCCTGGAAGAAAACTTAGGAAGTAAACTCCTTGACATCAATCTTGATTTTTTTTTTTTAACTGACTCCAAAAGCAAAGGTAACAATAACAAAAATAAACAAGTGGGACTACATCAAACTAAAAAGTCTCAGGGCACCTGGGTGGCTCAGTCATTAAGTGTCTGCCTTCGGCTCAGGTCATGGTCCCAGGGTCCTGGGACCGAGCCCCTCATCGGACTCCTGCTCAGCTGGAAGTCTGCTTCTCCCTCTCCCACTCCCCCCGCTTATGTTCCCTCTCTCACTGTGTGTCTCTCTCTGTCAAATAAATACATAAAATCTTAAAAAAAAAAGTCTCTGCACAGCAAAGAAAAACATCAATGCAATGAAAAGGCAATGTATGAAATGGAAGGAAACATTTGCAAGTCACAGATGTGATAAGGTGTTACTATCCAAAATATATAAAGAACTCCTGCAACTCATCACCAAAAACAACCAAACAATTCAATTTAAAAAACAAATAAAAAAAAAAAAGAGCAGAGGATCTGAATAGACATATTTTCAAAGGAGATATCACTAATCATCAGGGAAATACAAATCAAACCCATGATGAGTTATCACCTCATACCTGTTAGAAAGGCTATCATCAAAAAGACAAGAAACAATAAGTGTTGAGGATGTGGAGAAAATGGAACACCTGTGCAGTGTTGTTAGCGATGTAAATTGGTACAGCTAGTATGCAAAACAGTATGTGAAGTTTCCTCAAAAAATTAAAAATAGAACTACCATATGATTTAGCAATTCCAGGACTAAATATTTATCCAAGGGAAACAAAAACACTAATTTGAAAAGATATGTCTACCCCTATGTTCACTGCAGCATTATTTGCAATAGCCATATATGGAAATTATGTAAGTGTCCACTGATGTATGAATGGATAAAGAAAATATAGCATATATATACAATGGAATATTATTTAGCCATATAAAAGAAGGAAATCTTGCCATTTGTAACAAAATGAGTGGCCCTTGAATGTGTTATGCTAAGTGAAATAAGTCAGAGAATGACAAACACCATATTATCTCACTTATATGTGTAATCTAAAAAATAAAACAAATAAATAAAAGTCATGGATATAGAGAACAGAGTGGTGGCTGCCTGTGGGAGGATGGTTGATGGGTGGGGGAAATAAAAAATAAAAAAAGAGAAGATACAAAATACCAACATCAGGAATGATACAAATATCACTAATGACTCTACTGCTATAAAAAGATAGTAAAGGACTATTATGAACAATTTCATGTCAATGAATTTGATACATTTACTAAAATGGCTAAATTCCTTAAAAGACACAAAATACCAAAGCTCACTCAAAAAATAAAAAAGATAAACTGAATACCTCCAAGTCTCTTAAATAAATTGAATTTGTAGTTAAAATGCCTTTCTATTAAAAAAAACTTCAGGCCCAGATAGCTTCACTGGTGAATTCTACCAACCATTTAATGACAATTTTACAATGAATTCTTATAGAAAATTGAACAGGAGAAAACACTACCCAACTCATTCTATAAAACCAGAACTGCTATGGCATTAAAACTAGACATAAAAAATGCAAGAAATCTATAATCAAATATCTCTCATAAAAATAAATGTAAAAATTCTGAAAAAACATTTAGGAAATATCATCCACAAATATGCAAAAAACATAATACACCATGTCTACATGGGGGATTCATCCATAGGCAAGACTGCTTCAACATTTGACAACCAATCAATTTAATTTACCTATTAAAAGATTAAAGAAGAAAAAACATAGTATCTCAATAATTGCACTGAAAGAATATTACAAAATCTAATGTACAGACCTGATAAAAATTCAACAAACTAGTAACAGAAGAGAACTTTCACAACCAGATAAAGAACATGTAAAAAGACCTATACTGAACTTTGTAATTCATGCTGAAATGATGTTTTTCCCCTGTGATAAGGCAAGAATGTCTGCTCTTACCAATTCTATAGAACACTGAACTGGAGGGTCAAGCCAGTGCAACAAAGACAAATAAAAGAAATAAGTGATGTCTATAAAGGAAAAAAAAGTAAAAACTCCTTGTTTGTAGGTTATAAATAGAAAATTCTATGGAATCTACCAAAAAAAAAAAAAAGCCATTAGGTGTAATAAGTAAGTTCAGTTAAATTCTAGGATACAAGTTCAATACGCAAAAAACAAAACAAACAAAAAAAAAACTGTATTTCCATCCAACCTGAAAATGAAATTAATAAGAAAGCAATTCCATTTACATCATTTTAAAAAAGGAAATACTCAGAGATAAATCCGATAAAAAATGTGGAAGACTGATACACTGAAAATGACAAGACATTGCTGAGAGAAATTAAAGGAGACTCAAAAACTGGAGAAAAAATCATATTCATGAAATGAAGATTCAATATTGTGAAAATGTCAATTATCTGCAAATTGACCTATAGATTCAATGAAATCCCAATCAAAATCCCAGCAAGCTTTTCTGTAGAAAGTGAAAGGCTGATTTAAAAATTGATATGGAAATACAAAGGACCCAGAAGAGGCAAAAGAACTTTGAAAAAGAAGAGCAAAGGGGCGCCTGGGTGGTTCAGTCGTTAAGCCTCTGCCTTCAGCTCAGGTCATGATCCCAGGGTCCTGGGATGGAGCCCCGCATTGGGCTCCCTGCTCAGCGGGAAGCAGCCTTCTCGCTCTCCCACTCCCCCTGCTTGTGTTCCCTCTCTCTGTCAAATAAATAAATAAATAAATATTAAAAAAAAAAAAAGAGCAAAGCTCAAGGATTTGTACTACCTTACTTTAAGACATATAGTATAGTAATTAAGGGTATAGTAATTAAGAAATCAAGTAGTGAAATAAAGATAAACAAATAGATCATTGAACAAAATAAAATGTCCAAAAATAGACCTTCACATATATGGTCAATAGATTTCCAACAAAAATGCAAGGTGATTCAGTGAAGAAAGCATAGACTTTTTTAATCACAAGGCTAGAACACTGGGATATGTATATGCAAAAAAAAAAAGGAAAAAAGAAAAGAAAAGGACTTCAAAACATACCTCTCACCATACACTAAAATAAACTCAAAATGGATTATATACTTAAATGTAAAACCTAAAATTACAAAATATCTAGAAAATATAGAATATCTATGTGACCTGAGATTAGGCAAATATTCTTTAAATAGGACACCAAATTCATAAAAGAAAAAATTATAAGTTGGAATTCATCAAAATTAAGAACTTCTGCTTTTGAAAGACCTATTAAAGAGAATGAAAAGGCAAACCACAGACCAGGAGAAAGTATTTGCAAACAACATATATGATAAAGGACTTACCATCCAAAATATATACTCTCAAAACTCAGAAAACATACAATTTAATAAAAAATGAGGCAAATATTTAAACAGACATTTTATCAAAGAAGATAAATAGATGCCAAATAAGTACATGAGGAGATGCTCAACATCATTAGTCATTAGGATTATGCAATTCAAAACCACAATAAGGTGCCACTACACACTTATGTCCAAAATCAAAACAAGACTACTGACCATATTAAGGGCTGGAAAGGATGTGGAGCAACTGAAACTCTCATACACTGCTGGTGGGAATATAAAAATTATAATCCTACCTTAGAAAACAATTTGATAGGGTCTTTAAAATAAGTTAAAACATATACCTATCAAATAGTCCAGTCATTATACTCCTAAGTATTTAATCATGAAAAATGAAAACATAACCATGAAAATGAAAACATATGTCCATACAGTTATTTGTGCATGAATGTTTGTAGCAACTTTATTAGTAATATCCAAAAACTGCAAATAACCCAAATATCCATCAATAAGTTAACGCACAAATGGTGGTGTATCCATACAGTGGAATACTATTCAGCAATAAAAGTGAATGAACCACTGATACATACAACACCATGGCTAAGTCTCAAAATAATTATTCTGGTTAAATAAGCCAGACAAAAAAGAATATATACTATAAGATTCCATTTATATAAAGTCCTAGAAAATGTAAACCAAACAATGACAGAAAGCAGATTCAGTAGGGGCAGGGTGGAAGGGAGGCATTACAAAGGGGCACAAGAAAATGGTTGGGGATGACAGATAAGCTTATTATCTTGATTGTGATGATGGTTTCACAGGTATATACAAATGTCAAATTTTATCAAAGTATGTATTCTAATATGTGTAATTCATTGTATGTCAGTTATACCTTCATAAAGTTGTTGTAGAATAAATTAAACCCTACTCCCAGAGGCATTTTGGTAGCTTGAGTAGCCAAAATCCTAGGCTTGCCCCTATCTACTTCATCCAGTTATTTATATTGATCTTGTGCCTAAAGGAATAATGAGTAGCACACTGAGGAGATCTAAATGACAGGCAGACAGAAAATGCCATTAACTGGCACATCAACTAAATACTATGCAATGAAATAAACAGAAGAATTATTTAAAATTTCTATAGAAAAAAATTAATCAGCAGAACACAAATGATTTTTCTTAGTTTTGTTTCAATAAAATATAGTAAAAATTTACAGATACCTACCTCTTTGGATAATCTTGTGAAGACATCTCCTCCCCTGAGAAAATCCAGTATTAAATAGAGCTTCCCTTCAGTCTGAAAGGCTAATTATAAATTAAAATGTAGTAACAGAACATTAACAGAATCTTAAAGGCTTAACGACCTCAGTATAATTTTTAATTAATATATATGTTTAGTTTTATCATTAAACACTATAAAGGAATTAAGCATTTATTCACATGGTCCAATGGATAACATTATCTCAAAACTGAACTTAGTGCTGAAATAGCTATAAATCCCTTCCTAGAACATAATCAACTTTACATGTGGTTTTACACAGAAACTTCTACTGCCATCGTTGTCCTGATTTATGGCGCATCATGCTCTACTCCAAACTGCTTGAACTCCACCTCCCTACCTACTGAAAATCTACTAATTCTTTCAAGCTCAACAAAAATGCCACCTCCTCCATCAAGCTTTCCTCTATTAAGGATTTCTCTCTTTTCACATTTCATAGCATCCTTACCCTCTTCTCCAAAACAATTACTTGCTACTACTTTTGAGATCTCATTGTTCCTTATTTATGTCTCTCTTATGGCACTTACTCCATTTTTATTTGTACAATTAATTTGTTTACATGTCTGCATTCCAATAGATTAGAAGTTTTTTGAGTCAGAGATTGTTTCACCTCTAGAGCCTACTTCATTCAATAGAGCGTTTTGCACACAATTGGTATTTACTGATTAATGTAATGTACTCCTGGTGATTTAAGGAAGTGGAACTTTAGATATTACTATTTTCCATTTAGGATAACAAGGAGTGAAAGAATAATGGGTGTGAATTTTTTAAGGATTTTTAAAAATAATTTAGTATATACTTTAATGCATTATTTTTCAAAAATTCCTAAGAATAAAATCAATAGCTGCTACTTTTTTAAATCTTGAAAACTTACTGATATCATAGAATATATCAGTGATTTAATGATGTATATATCTTTGAATTCTCCAGGAAAGCCAAACTGCACAATCTCATGTATCCATAAATTATGAACGGAGCCATGATTCAAACTCAGCACTGTGTGACTCCAAACTCACGTTCTTTCCATTATATTTACTGCTTCTTACTGGTATTCCTCTTCCCCCAAATAAAAGAAAGAATAACTCAAATGGACTAATATAACTACATGGTCCTCTTCAATAGAGCTAGGAAATAAATTAATAAGCTCATTATGAACATGTAAGAGGAACACATCCAAACATCAGATGTTTTGAATAAATTATCACAGTTTATAGCCTCAGATCATTAAAGGTACAGCCTAGCGGAGTAAAGAAATACTACCAGACAAGTAATCAGAAGACACTATCTTATTACCTTAGACAAATTAACCAACAGATAAAGAAAATACAATTCAAAATTGGATATTGATTCTTACTCTTATTTCGGATAAATATATTTTACATAGTTGAATGTATTAAATAATTTTGAAGTATTTATTTCCCGTTATGTTATTGTTTGAAGGGAAATCTTAATTCTCTAATTCCATAAATTAAAACAAACAAACAAACATGACATACCATAGTGTAATTTGACAATAAATGGATGATTTACTTCCACCAATATATCCCTTTCCATCTTTGTCCGAACTCTGTCTCGAACTAAAAATTATAGAAAGGTAGAATATATTACTCTTCTATATAAAATTTCAGTAGAGATCCATCAATAATTCACCAAACAAAAATATGAAAATATAAGTGTATAAGTGCTTAAATTTGCAATCTATATATTTCTAGACAGTAATTACCATATTCTCAGAAAGCCAACAAATTCAGTTTAGATCTAGATGGATTAAAGTGACATTAAGTAGGTATTTGGATAATATGTATTTATTATGTATTGGTCTCCAATTTTCAAATGAGTTCAATGATTAAAACTGAGCACAGAGAAGATGGTGTAAGTGTATCCAGGTGGTTGTGCTTTTTCAATATGCAAAATCAACAAAGATGAAACAGAAAAAAAATAAAAATCTTAAAAGAATATAGCTTACTAAAATAAGTTCACTTTATATTAAATAAAATGTGTCACTTTTTATACAATTAAATTTTTACCAGGGTACAGTCTAACTAAATTAGAGCATATGCCAATATCAAACCTAGAAATATCACTTACAGGCTAGAAAACTTACTAATGTTTAAAGGAAACTGAGTCTACTCAACTTATACAAGCAATACACAGCATATTTCTTAAAACAAGCTTTATCAAATTCTATCTTAATAAGCTTTGTAATTTTCTACCTTTTAAAGAAGCCTTTTTTAACACCTTCATTGCATAGAGCTGCCCAGCATCAGGACCAGTCTTCTTTCGAACAAGAAAAACCTAACAGAGGATTTTTTTTAAGTGAAATTTGTATTTCAAGACATTCTTGCTATACACATTAGCACACATATATGCCCATGCATTTCCTCTAATTTTATAAAGATATACTTTTCTCTATAAATTATATTCTTAGTTAACTTTTCCTCATTTTCATTCATTTAGTAAATCCCACTATCATATATACTACTGTGGGAAAGAAAATTTTTAAAATAGATGACATGGTCATGACTTCAAGAAGTTTGTGATGTATGAAATAAGCAACATAATGAAAGGCAATTTGATCTAAGGGAACTACTTTTAAGAACCACGCACCTTTTTCTTGCCTTACTAAAGACCAAAGAATTGTGATGACTGCTAATTTGATACCTTCATTTCTACTTCCTTATTTGTCCATTTTAGAAGGTACCAGGCATTTTATTTTCTAGTAAGAAATCAGAGGCAATTATACCTGTCTGCCAGGTTGAACAGTCAAGATGGTAAAGTATCACAGTAAACAAATTAAACTCTTTAAGATTACTGAGAAAACTTGAGTAATACTACCTCATATTTTCAAACTAAGATTAAAAGTGGTTTTTAAAAAGCTTCAGTTATGAAAATAAATATGAATAGATTAAACTTTTATAGGAGTTATTTATTAGTAAAGGGCTGTTTCATTTTTAAAAATTAGTAAAATTTGCTCACTACTGTGAAATAAATGCTACAGAAACTAAAACAACAACAACAACAACACAGTAGAACAGATCAATGAAACCAGGAGCTGCTTCCTTGAAAAATTAATAAAATTGATAAACCTCTAGCCAGACTTATCTAAAAGAGAAGAGAAAGGACCCAAGTAAAAAAAAAAAAAATCACAAATGACAGAGGAGAAATAACAACCAACACCACAGAAATATAAACAATTATAACAGAATATTATGAAAAACTTTGCCAACAAATTGGACAATCTGGAAGAAATGGATAAGTTCCTAGAAACATATAAGTTACAAAAACTAAAACAAGAAGTAGAAAACTTGAACAGAGCAATTACCAACAATGAAATGGAATCGGTAATTAAAAAACTCCCAACAATCCAAAGTCCAGAACCAGATGGCTTCACAGGTGAATTCTAATAAATATTTAATGAAGAGTTAATACGTATGCTTCTCAAACTATTCCAAAAAATACAAAAGGAAGGAAAACTTCCAAATTCATTCTGTAAGGCCAGCATTACCCTGATCCCAAAACCAGATAAAGACACCACAAAAAGAGAACTACAGGCCAATATCACAGAAACACAGATGCAAAAATTCTCACTAGAATACTAGCAAACAGAATCCACAACAGACTAAAAAAAAAAAAAAAAAAAAAAATCAGGAGCGCTTGGCTTGCTCAGTTGGTAGACCATGTGACCCTTGATTTTGGGGTTGTAAATTTAAGCCCCACATTGGGTGCAGAGATTACTTAAAAACGAAATCTTAAAAAAATTTTTTTCACCACAACCAAGTGGGATTTATTCCTGGGTGGCAAGGGTGGTTCAATATTCATAAATGAATCAATATGATATATAACATTAATAAAAGAAAGGTTAAAAACAATATGATCATTTCAAGATGCAGAAAAAGCATTTTACAAAGAACAGTATCCATTCATAATAAAAACCCCCAACAAGGTAGGATTAAAAGGAACATACCTCAAAATCATAAAGGTCATATATGAAAAACCCACAGCTATTACCATCCTCAATGGGGAAAAACTGAGAGATTTCATCTACTGCCAGGAACAAGACAGGAATCCACTCTCACCACTGTTATTTAATTTAGGACTGGGAGTCCTGGCCACAACAATCAAACAACACAAAGAAATAAAAAGGCATCCAAATCAGCAAAAAATTCAAACTTTCATTATTTTCAGATGACGTGAGCCCAAAAGCTCCACCAAAAAACTGCTAGAAAAACAAGTTCAGTAGAGTCGTAGGATACAAAATCAAAATGTAGAAAACTGTTGCATATCTACACACCAATAATGAAGAGGCAGAAAGAGAAATCAAGGAATCAATCCCATTTACAATTGCACTAAAAACCCTAAGATACCTAGGAATAAACCTAACCAAAGAGGTAAAGATCTCCTACTCTGAAAACTATGAAACATTGATGAAAGAAATTAAAGAGGACACAATGAAATGGAAAAACATTTTATTCTCATGGATTGGAAGAACAAATATTGTTAAAATGTCTATATTACCCAAAGCAATCTACACATTTAATGCAGTCTTTATCAAAATACCACCAGCATTTTTCACAAAGTTAGAACAAACAGTCCTAAAATTCGTATGGAACTACAATAGACCCTGAATAGCCAAAGGAATCTTGAAAAAGGAAAGCAAAGCTGGAGGCATCACAATTCTGGACTTTGTCAAGTTACATTACAAAGCTGTAGCGATCAAGACTGTATGGTACTGGGATAAAAACAGAGACATAGATCAATGGAACAGAATAGAAAATCCAGAAATGAACCAACAACTCTATGATCAATTAATCTTCCACAAATCAGGAAGGAATATCCAATGGAAAAAAAAGACAATCTCTTCAACAAATGGTATTGGGAAAATTGGACAGTAGCATGCATAAGAATGAAACTGGACTACTTTCTTACACCATACAAAAAAATAAATTCAGAATGGATGAAAGACCTAAATATGAGACAGGAAACCATCAAAATCCTAGAGGAGAACATGGGCAGTAACCTCTTTGACATTATCCATAGCAACTTCTTACTAGATATGTCTCCTGAGGCAAGGGAAACAAAAGCAAAAATAAACTGTTGAGACTTCATCAAAATAAAAAGTTTCTGCATAGTGAAGGAAACAACAAAACTAAGAGGCAACCAATAAAATGGAGAAGATATTTGTAAGGGATAGTATCCAAAGTATATAACCAACTTATAAAAATCAACACCCAAAAAAGAAATAATCCAGTTAAGAAACGGGCAGAAGACATGAATAAACATTTTTCCAAAAAACATATCTAGATGGCCAACAGATACATGAAAAAATGCTCAACATCACTCATCATCAGGGAAAGACAAATCAATACTACAATGAGACATCCCCTCACACCAGTCAGATTGGCTAAAATTAACAACACAGGAAACAGATGTTGTCAAGGATTTGGAGAAAGAGGAACCCTCTTACACTGTTGGTGGGAATGCAAACTGGAGCAGCCAATCTGAAAAAGAGTATGGATATTCATCAAAAAGTTAAAAATAGAACCTCCAGTTAAAAGTTAAAAATAGAATGATCCAGCAATTGCACTACTAGGTATTTACCTAAAGGATAAAAAAGTACTGATTTGAAGTGATACATGTGCCCCAATATTTATAGCAGCACTATCAACAATAGCCAAATTAAGGAAAGAGCCCAAATGTCCATCAATTGATGAATGGATAAAGAAGAGGTGGTATGTACATACAGTGGATTATTACTCAGCCATAAAACCAAATGAAATCTGGCCATTTGCAACGACATGGATGGAGCTAGGGAGTGTTATGCTAAGCGAAGTAAGTTAGTCAGAGTAAGAAAAAAACATATGACTTCACTCATAAGTGGAATTTAAGACATAAAACAAATGGAAATAGAGGGGAAAAAAGAAAGAAAAACCAAGAAACAGACTCTTAAACAATAGAGACCAAAGTGCTGATTACCAGAGGGGAGGTGGACAGGGGAATAGGTTAAATAGGTGACAGGGATTAAGGAGGGCGTTTCTTGTGCTGAGCACTGGGTGTTGTATATAAGTTTGAATCAGTAAATTCTACACCTGAAACTGATATCACACTGTATGCTAACTAACAGGAATTTAAATAAAAACTTGAGGTAAAAAGACCCAAAAGGAACAAAAAACAGAATGACCAATTGAATTTCCACTAAAAAAGTATCTAGAACACCAAGTCCCCTCTTTACCTCACTCCGTGGATGGCACCCTTGTTTATTCGTTATTCTCACCCCTAAAGAAGTTTGAGGTTCTTCTCTGGAGTGGTCTCTGAAATGCAGGATGCCAAAACAAACCCTAACCCTAACCTTAGCCCTATGCCTATAACTAACTCTATCCCTTACCAATTACTACTAAACTCTACCTCTAAACTAGTTCTAACCTTAAACCTAACCTCTGGAGAGGTATCTGAACTGCAGGAAAGGAGGGACATAGCCTCATTCTAACCATAACCCTAGCTCTAAATCTAATCCTAACTGAAACCCTAACCCCTAACTGCTAACCACTAAACCCCAACCCTAACTCTAATCCTAAACAGATCACTCTGGAGAGGTCTCTGAACTGCAGGATAATAGGCACATTCCCTCACCCTAGGCCTAACTCTAATCCTAGCCCTTACATTAGTCTTAAACTGAACCATAATCCTTGATCTGAGGAAAAAGAAAATTTGGTTCATAGATACAATGGAATATTACTCAGCCATAAAAAATGAAATCTTAAAAAAATCATAAAAAATGAAAGTTACTTAAAGTAACACTAACCCAAACACTAACCCCAACCATGCCCTAACATTAACCCTAAAGTTACCTCTCTGGAGAGGTCATTGAACTGCAGGATAATAGGTGCATAACTTCATCCTGGCCCTAATCCTAACCCTTATTCTGGCCCTAAACCAAACCCTAATCCTAGATGTGAAAAAAAAAAAAAGATTCGATACACACACACACACACACACATGCACACACGCACCATGGAATATTATGCAGCCATTAAAAAGAATGAAGTCTTGCTATTTGCAAGGACATGGAAGAAGCTAGAGAGTAGTATTCTTAGTAAAATTAGTCTGTCAGAGAAAGACAAATAGCATATGACTTCACTCAGAGATGGAACTTAGGAAACAACATAAACAAGCAAATGGAAAAAAAAGAGAGGCAAACCAAGAAACAGACTCTTAAATATAGAGAACAAACTGATGGTTACCAGAGGCGAGGTGGGTGGGGGGATGGGTAAAATAGGTGATGGGGATTAAGGAGTGCA